GGGTAGCTAGCCCCAGCCTGGCGTGAGGGGAGCAGGGTGTGTGGGGCTGTCACACTCCAGGACAGGCCTGAGGGGAGCAGGGTGTGTGGGGCTGTCGCACTCCAGGGCAGGGGGTCGCTAGCCCCAGGCAGGCCTGAGGGGAGCAGGGCGTGTGGGGCTGTCGCACTCCAGGACAGGGGGACGCTAGCCCCAGCCCGGCCTGAGGGGCGCCGGGTGCATGGGGGTCACACTCCAGGGCAGGGGGTCGCTAGCCCCAGCCAGGCCTGAGGGGAGCAGGGTGTGTGGGGCTGTCGCACTCCAGGGCAGGGGGTCGCTAGCCCCAGCCAGGCCTGAGGGGAGCAGGGCATGTGGGGCTGTCTCACTCCAGGGCAGGGGGTCGCTAGCCCCAGGCAGGCCTGAGGGGAGCAGGGCGTGTGAAATCAGGCGGCTTGGCCTGGAAGGCCTGGTGCTGTGTCACTGGCTCAGTCGCCGCTCACCAGGTCTTGCCATCTGCCAGCTGCTTCGGGCTCGTCTGCACTTGGAACGTTGCAGCGGCCCTGTGGCAGCTCGGCAGCAGCAGCGCTTCCGTGTAGATGCTACCGACGCCGGCAGGAGGGGCTCCCCCATGGGCGCAGGCAAACCACTGCCCGGGCGGGGGCCAAGTCACTGAAATACAGCAAGTGAGCGGCTGAAGCCTTTCCTCCCGCGCATCACGAGATGGCAGGGGAGCGCTCGCTCAGGCCATGGCGCACACCAGGCAGCCTTTGCACATCCCCACAATGTCCAGCCACAGAGACTCACCTCAGCTCTTTGCTTTCTTTCAGCTTCCATGACCGGATTCCCTGTGGCAGGTAGGTACGAACACAGGCAGAGGGTGCAGGATCAGTCCGTGTGTTTCTTGTAAATCAGAGTGATGAAGGGCAGAGTTATGGTTATTTATTCGTGTTCAAATTCTGCCCCTGACAGGGCATTCTGGCTGTCGGGCCCCAGTGGAAATGTGCAGGCTACCCAGGGTCCTGAGGGCTCCCTTGTACCCAGCAAGACCAATTGATGTTTGGGCTCTGGCAGCTCCTGGCTGAGCTGTGTCAGTCCAGGGTGACCCTAGATTTACCCGGGGGTAAGATCTGCCCCAACAGATTTAGCTTTCGTGATTGTTAGAGCCATTCCAGCTCAGCCCGACTGTGGTTAGCACGTGGCCCTGCCCTGGGCCAGTGGAGGTGCTGTGTGCTGACACCGGGGGGCTGGGTGTCGCACCAGCTGGGGCCTGTGATTGCTGGGGGTGGGATACCAGGACCCAGGCTGCTGGCACCTTCAGCACCAGGGCAATGCTCAGGATGGACACTGCGGAATTCAGTGGAGCCCAGACAGGGGCTTTGGGGGAACTCTACAGCCCTGTCGTGCTGGGCATCAGGGCGCAGATGGGGAGAGAGCCCAGACAAGGGCGAAGGGCAGTTCAGTCTCCTGACCATTTCTTCCCTCACCCCTTGCCTGGGAGCCGCTCAGACTGAGGCTGGGCCAGGCGGCACACACCTGCCCGGGCACAAGGGAAATTCTCCCCAGCTGCTCATTTCACACACTGGGCACCAGAGAGCTGCACTGGCTGCCACTGCCAGGCACTGCCAGCTTGGAAGCCCAGTGCCTGCTCCCACCACGCCAGCCACTGCCCTGCCTGAGCTGGGGCCAGTCGAGGACTGGGTCTCCTTCCCCCAACCTACTGCATCAGCTCATCCCCCTTGCACAGACTGAGGGACCAGCATCCCCTAGGAGGAAAACCCCTGTGTCCCATTCTCTGCCCCACCAGTCAGCCCTTCCCCCAGGCTGGGGCTGGATCAGGGCTGGTGACCTTCAGAGGGGAAGCCCAAGTGTCCTATTCTCACCCCCCGAGCCAGCCAGTCCACTACACTGGGGCTGAATGGGATCCAGAGCAAACAGCAGGAGAAAAGCCCCTTGTTCCTTCCCTCTACCTAGCCCTGAGTGTCTGTCCCTTTGGATGTTGCAGACTCAGGCAGTCCAGAAGTAGCTCAGCTCCGGCTGTCGAACGGCTCAAGTCGCTGCGCTGGGAGAGTCGAGGTGCTGCACGACCAGCAGTGGGGAACCGTGTGTGATGACGGCTGGGATTTAACCGAGGCCAGAGTAGTGTGCCGGCAGCTGGGCTGCGGGACGGCGCTAGCAGCCCCACACGGGTCTCGCTTTGGACATGGAACTGGCCGTATCTGGCTGGACGAAGTCAACTGCACCGGGACGGAAGCTGCCCTCTCCGAATGCAGGGCTAAGCCTTGGGGAGAGCACAACTGTAACCATGTGGAAGACGCCAGCGTGGAGTGCTCAGGTGAGCCCTGTCTCCCATCTCACGGCGGGTGCTGCAGGGAGCAGATTCAGAAGGTTTCAGCCCAGTCTCTGCTTCCCCGTGTGAATTCCCGTGAACCAGCGCAGCACTGAGGGCATGTGCTGAAGGGAACACTTCTCCCAGCCTCTCCCCCTGACTAAATGCAATGCAAATTGGGCTAATGCAATTGCAGGCTAGTTTCATGGGGGGTCCTCTGGGTGCCAAACTCATCCCTATTGGTAGGATGATGATGGGAGGCGTTCTTAGAGGGGTCGTATGACAGCCTTTCTTCTAGTCATGTGTCTATCTTGACCTCGGCAGTACTACCTCCAGGGGAGGGACTTCTTATGGCAGGGGGCGTGGCTAATGGGGCTCAGGGGCGTGACTAACAGCAGTCAGGGGCGTGGCCAATGTGTCCCTAAATTTGGTTCAGAAAACATGGTCACTGTACCTAGAATGGAACTAGGGCAGGGGTGCACAATAATTTTGTACCGGGGGCCACTTCAGAAATGTTTGCAGTCACCCCAGGCCACTCTGGAAGGGGCGGGACCTCAAGCAGAAGGGGCGGGGCCAGATACTTCCCTTCTTCCCCACTCACAGATCATGATTGGTCTGTGGGTGGGGGAGCATGTGAAGTCTTTGCCCCTCCAGACGTTCCCCCTAGGTGCCCTTGCCCCTGGTGGTGGGAGGAGACTTTGTGCACTCTCCCTTCTGCCCCCAGACCAATCAGGGCTTGGGAACAGGGGAGCACGCGAAGTCTCCCGCCCTGCCAGGAGCACATGGCACTTCTAAGTACCACATGCTCCTTGCAGGCCAGGGGCAGGGTGGAGGAAACTTTCCCCCACCCCCAGGCCCTGATTGGCCTGGGGGTGGGGGAGCAGTAGGGCCTCTGCGGGCTGGATCAACCTGCTTTGTGGGCCAGATCCGGCCCCGGGAGGCCCTTTTGCCCACCCCTGAGCTACGGGGTGTCAGCTGCAGAGTGAGAGGGCATGGGGCATAGTGAGAGGCTCTCCCCCTCTCTGATCACTCTGACTCTCCCCGTCCTTTCCTGGCTCCCAGCTGTAGGACTTGGTGTCAAACAAAAATTAGTGAGGCATTTGATACAGTCTCTCATGACCTTCTTATCAATAAACCAGGGCAATACAACTTAGATGGGGCCACTATAGGGTGGGTGCAGCACTGGCTGGATAGCCATTCTCACAGAGTAGTTATCAATGGTTCACAGTCATGCTGGAAGGACATAACAAGCGGAGTTCTGCAGGGGTCTGTTTTGGAACCGGTTCTATTCAATATCTTCAGCAACCATTTAGATATTGGCATAGAGAGGACGCTTATAAAGTTTGCAGATGGACCAAGCTGGGAGGGGTTGCAAGTGCTTTGGAGGAAGGGACAGAATTCAAACTGATCTGGGCAAACTGGAGAAATGGTCTGAGGTAAACAGGATGAAGTTTAATAAGGACAAATACAAAGTGCTCCGCTTAGGGAGGAACAATCAGTCTCACACATACAGAACGGGAAGCGACAGTCTAGGAAGGAGTCCTGCAGAAAGGGATTTAGGGGTCATTGTGGACCGCAAGCTAAATAGGAGTCAACAGTGTGACACTGGAGTGGTTGATAAACCGGCTAATATATACCCCTGCTGGCCCTCCATCCCCTCGATTCCTTCTTACCGTTTGCGAGCGTCAGTCATTGGAACGTGTTTTGCTCGTGCTCTGCAATCGCCTCTGAGCAGTTCATCTTAGTAGTTTAGTCTGACCTTAAAGTTTTTCACAGTTTATTGTTTTGTCTAGCAGTTGATAGTTAAGTGCAGTATTTAGTGCACAGTTTTAGGCACGGGGCTTCCTTCGGGTCCTCAGCGTGACCAGTGGGGCATGCCGAGGCCCCAAGGCTTAATGGGACCCCCACAGAGCCTGCCTCAAGTGCCGCAGAAAATTTAATCTGTCTGAGGCCTGTAAAATCTGCAAAGGCTTCAAACTGGTCTCTAAATGAGAGAGGGAGTCCCGTCTCAAGATCATCCTAATGGAGGCGGCACTGCGTCCGGAACCAGCGTCCGACCCGGCACTGGCTACCCAAAGCGCACTGGCTTCGGTGCAGGAGGCACCTAGTCACTGGTGTGCCTCTCCGGCACTGCACAAGCCTTGACACTGCTCTCAGTCCCCAGTGCTGCAGAATTGGAGGAGACCTAGCCGGGGCAGGTCTCCTGCAAGGCATGTGCCCTCCGTGCACCCCCAGGCGGGACATGTGGCACCGACGAGCTCAGCACCCAGACCATTGTGGTCGGGTCCACACTGCTCCCGCTCGTGCAGAGATCCCAGTCCACCGAGGGAAGCCTGAAGCATGGCACGCCCCGCGATGGGGGTCGCTGACTGCCACTATTTCTGCACCTGGTTGACATCTGAGTACTCAACCAATTCAGAGGCAGAATTGATTTGGTCTTCGCAGGGCTTTGGATCGAGGTCATGGCTCCGCTCCTACTCCTGCCACTGGTCCCGGCACCGCAGTACATGAGCGCACCCCGCCCAGCAGCAGCACCAGCCTTGGCCACAGCTCACCCCAGGCGTGCTACAGTCTCGGCCCCCTCAGCTACAGGTGCCTGTGCAGTTGCCTTTCTGGACTTCCTGGGCCTGTTACCAAGGCCAGGATGTGGGTCCCTTTGGGCCAGGGTCAGCCTACTTGGGACCCAGGGTTCCCCCGTCGGCGACCCAACAAACCCACTCCCTAGTGTCGGAGCAGTCTCTCTTTCCGGGGCAAGCCTCGCCTGGGCCATAGATAGAGAGGGGCCCATCTGTTGCCCAGCCCACTAACAGTGGCCTTGTCAGTGGCTTCTCAGGCCCCATTGCAAGCAACTGACTCAGGGGTTGTGGGCATGAAGGGATTGTCATCTTCCTCGCCCTAGGAAGCTCTTGGCGGGGCCCTCCCATCCATGCCAGCTATGGACTCGAGATCTCATCAGGATCTCCTCCATCGCCTGGCCCAGAGCCTGGGGGTTCAGGCTGGCAGAGTGGCTTTGTCCATCAACAAAACCAGCACAAAAATCACAAAGACCCTCTGGTAGACCCGGCCTCCATCCTGCCAACTGATAAACAGGCCGAGAGGAGATACTTTGTGCCACAGAAGGGGACTGAACTTCTCTTCTCCCACCTGCCCCCGAGGTCGCTGGTTGTTCAGGCGTCAGCCAGAGGGAGAGGCAAGGCCAACAAAAAACAGGGAGACCAAAAAGATGGCTCTCCTGGGCAGGAAGACCTATACCTCGGGAGGCCTGCAGCTCTGCATAGCGAACCAGCAGGATCTGCTGAGCTGCTCTGCGTACAATACTTGGGCGACTATGGACACATTTGCTGAGGTGCTCCCCAGGGTCTCCTGTTCAGAGTTTAAGTCCCTCGCAGAGGAGTGCAGGGTAATCTCCCGGGAGGACCCAGGTTATGTGGTCGCAGGAAGACCTCTCCCTACACATTAATATCAGGGAGCTGCAGGCGGTCCGCCTCACCTGTCAGGCTTTTCTCCCCAGGCCCAGAGGAGGGACGGTTCTGATCCTATCCAACAACAACTCCGTGGTCTTGTACATAAACAGGCAGGTTGGGAAGCCCTCCAGCTCTTGGGAGCTGTGATTGGGGAGGTTATCCACCCAATTGCTGCCTATCTGGGGTCTCAGAACACCTTAGCAGACCAGCTCTCACTCCGGACACGAATGGTCTCTCAGGGAGGATGTGACCCTCCAAATTTTCTATAGGTGGGAGTTTCCCCTCCTGGACCTGTTTGTGACCCGCCAGAACAGGAAGTGCCCCAGATTCTGCTCCCTCATGGGGCTGGGTTGAGAGTCTCTGGGAGATGTGCTCATCGTCCCTGGCCCAGGGACTACTTTATGTGTTCCCGCCCTTCCCATTGTGTTCCTACGGGTGCAGGAGTTCAGGGCCTCGCTGATACTCATTGCACTGGTGTGGCTGAGGCAGCATTGGTGCATGTCCCTTCTGAGCCTGTCCTGCAAGTGGCCAATAGCCCTACTGCTGGACCTGGATGTGATAACAGGACTTCGGCAGGCTCTGCCACCCGAACCTGCGGTCCCTGCACTCAATGGGCTGGAAGCTCTGCGGCTGACAGCAGCAGAACTGCAATGCTCAGAGTAGGTGCAGGAAGTGCTGTTGGGAAGTAGGAACCCCTCTACTAGGGCCACCTCCCTAGCTAAGTGGAGGCGCTTCTCCATTCTTCACAGAGGGGTGTCACCTAGGGATGCCCAGGTCCCACTGGTCCTAGACCACCTTCTGGACCTTAGAGTTCAGGGATTATCCTCCTCATCAGTTAAGGTGCACTTAGCGGCCATTTCAGCCTTCCAC